TGTTTCGGTTTCTCAAACATTTTCACCTTTCACATTTTTTTCCTTTTTTTTTGCAATTTGTTTCCTCAGACGTCAGCAAGATGTCTCCTCAACTGCATGACATTTCCGCCACTTCCTTTCAAAGTTGGTTTTTTCATTTTCATTTTCCTTATCACCTTTCAGCTATAAAGTAAGCAAAAAAATATTTCACTCATGTAGCCTTCATGCAGCGCTGGCCATTTACCTTGTTGCAGCAACACTGTTCACCAGCCAACTTGCTACTCAGCTCATCTTGCGTACGTCTCTACAGTGTGACCTTTCAATCACTCACTGGTACGTCAGCTGCCGCTGCTTTTGGGGCTATTAATAATTCTTATTCTTCATGCCGTCTTCGCTGTGAGTTGGTCGGTCGTTTCGCATTTTCTTTTCTTTGCCATATTTTTCCAACCATTGCCATTTATCAAATGTTAAAATATTTCGCGGCTATAATTCATTTTTTTCAAGCAATATTTTTCCATACAAAAAACAAAGCAACAAATTTAGATATTCGTACATGATGAGTGTGTGTGGCTTGTGCTCGTAAATATGTGTATATAATAAGTTGAAGAAATATGTTTAGTTATTTCCACGCGCATGAAATACGAGCTGCGGCATATAAAGCACAGTAATCGCTCACTAAAATAAAAAAAAAAAAAAACAAAAAAAAAAAAAAANTGAATTTATTAAAAAAAAAAAAAAAAAAAAAAAAAAAAAAAAACAAAAAAAAAAAACGAAAACGAAAATCCCAGAAAATGGCTATAATGATATATTGTTGCTGAAATTTACATACATATACATATACATATGACTGGCAGTAAACCTACATACATATATATTATGTATATACATATATGTGCCTCCTTCACTACCTTGTATCATCGATTTATTTTGGCGCTTTTGCTGTTAGTTTTTATTGTTTTTTTGTTCTTTTTTTTTTTTTGTTCTTTTTTTTTTGTTCTTTTTTTTTTTGTAATTTTCTCATATTTTTATTTTTATTTTCATTTCCATTTTCATTTGTTGCCTGATTGATGTGATGTTTTTGCACTTTTCACTTGTCAGTTTGAGGTATGTCAGCGGCTGTGACGACGATGATTTTTGTTACTTTTGTTGTTAGATTTTGCTAGCTTTGCGATTATTGTTGCCAAAAAGGCGTATACTATATACGTGTACATACATAAATATATTTGTGTGTATGTATACGTATTGTATGTACGTCATCAGTTATACGAAATTGATGTACATCCCATAAGTGTAGACTTATTTATAAACATATGTATGTGTGTATGTGTGTTTATATTTTTCTAGTGTTTTATTAACAATTCTGTATTTGTTTTTCCTTGGCTTAGCGTTGATTTGTTGCTTATAGTCAGTCTAGTGTTTTTGACATATTTCATTGAATATTTCCATTTTTTCTCTTGTTCGAATGTCATTTAGCGTGATATGTGTTCACTCTTCACTGCTTTGTTGTTGTTTTGTTTGTTTCTTCTTCTTCTACTACTCTTTTTGCAATATGCAAGCAAATAATAAAAGAAATATTGGTTTTTGACTTTGTGTTGTCGATGGGTTTGATGAATGTTTGCTTACTTGAAAGCGTAAAATAAGAGAAAAATAATAAAATCAAATATCTGATAGCTTAACACTAATGGGAAAAAAGTCATAAATTTGAAAGAAAAATTCGTTATATGAGTTAGATATATGTATATGATATACATATATATACGTAGTATATATATATAAAAATCTGAACCAAGTATTTTGTACTGTAACTTGGTTCTAAAAACAAATGAGATTTAGAAGAATAATTTTGCGCGAAATTTCTATTTCCATTTTTTTTTTCACATCATAAAAATATTTTTCCTCTGCTTATTTCTAGAAAACTCTAAATTCAATTTTCGAAAATATATTTGTCTGTCTTTAACCGCGATTTTTTTGTTTTAGTTTAATTTTTTTGGTTAAAAATTTCCAGCAAATTGTTTTCTCTATTTGATCGGAAAAATGGTATTTAACTTTTAGCCTTAATAAATAAAAATTTTTGTAAACTCAACATAAAAATTATTAATTTTAAATAAATTACTAACTGATTTGTTTGCCAATTCTAAAAAAAACTGAAAAAGTTCTGACTACAGAACAGAACTGACAATAGTTTTTAAATACTTTTGACAGTCCGCAAAACTGTTGTGTAGCTAAGGCCGGCTCAAAACCTCATGCTTCAGTGATGGGAGTTTTTGAAACGCAGTCCTTCGTTGGAACTCTATTTCAACTATCTGCAGAGGGCCAGTGTGTTTTAAACTCAGATTTCCCCTAGCATGAAAGCCGAACGAGCAATCTCCATCTGCAGTAGCAGACAGGCAACAATAAAGACTCCATTATAATAAACTCTTAATTAATGCTTAAAAAACTAAGAAATATAACTTCAGAAGATAAATGAAAAGAACAGATTATATTTCATTTGTATTCTCAGTCAGAATACAAAAATTGATGGAAAAAGTGGGACCAAGCAGTTTATTTCAGATCAAGATCGCTGTCATATGCCCATCGTCAGATGCGAACTGTCATATAAGGAACGCAGAACTCGTCAAGCTCGGAACAAAACTCATCCAATCAGTAATCTAGGCCAACTTGACCCTAGAAGAAGATTTCAATTTTAGTATTGACTTATAGGACGGAAAGCAGAGAGACATAAACAAATTTCGTGGCGACGAGGAAAAGAGAATGATTTTGTAATATCGCATTAATTGTTTTACGAATAGATTATGCATTAGGTTTTTTAAATAATCAGAACCATCGGCTCGGTATTAACGTATTTAATAAGGGAGAAATTAGGTTTAATATTAGAAGCTAACATTTTCACATGAAGAAAAACACAATTTTGCCTGTGAATATAATTTCCTGAAAACGAACATAATCATTCTATATAGTAAAATTTACAGTCTACAAAAACTTGGACCAAAAAAACTAAGAGGTTCATGCTCAATATAAAAAACACAAAAATTCAGATTTCTTAGTTTTTTAATTTTATTTTATTTTAATTGAATATATAACATTTTATTTTAAATTTTTAATTTAAGTTTTTTAATTATTCTTTATTAATTTCTTTAAACTTTTTATTTTCTATTTTGTCGTAATTTATTTTATTAAAAGTTATTCTTTTTTTACAATACAACAATATTTTTTATTTTAATTTAATAATAATATATTTTATTTCCCTCATTTTTAATTTTTAATTTATTTTATTTCTTTTATTTTATTTTTATTTATCTTATTAAATTTTATTCAAAATAGGTTATTTTATTTCATTTGTTTTATTATATATTTTTTTTATTTTTAATCTTATCCCATTTTATTATTAAATTTCATTTTATTTTAATTCATTTTATTTTGAAACAAATATCATGTACCTTTGTTATGTTTAAAATTACTTTACTTCATTTTGTTTTATAAAATTTTTTTTATAATTTATATATATATATATATATATATGTATATTTTATATATATTTTTTTCTCTTAAAATATTTGAATACTTTTCAATTCGTTTTACTTGTTAATATATTATAATAAATAAATATTAAATTTTATATATATCTTTTGTATATTAAAGTTTTTTAAAATTTAGGCATTTTCATTCATTAATTTTCATTTCATAGATTCCAACTATTCATTTTTTTTTATTAATTTCATTAATTTTTATTTTTTTTTACTAAATATTTTATTACAATTAATTAATATTGTCTTCCCTTACATTTTCATTTGATTTTATTTTATATTTAAGTTTTTTGAGTTTTCTCTAATTTATTTTATATTATTTTTTTAATTTTTAGTTTTAAAAGTTTTATTTTCCTTTAGTTTATTATTTTTACTATTATTTTGTATTATAATAAGTTAGTATTTAATTTAATTTATTTCTCATTTATATATATATATATGTATCTATTTTTTGAATACCAGTAATTTTTTGAATTTTATTATAGTTTTTAATATTTTTATTATATTTTTTTCATTACACTATTTTAACTTAATTTTTTCATTTGCTGTATATTTTATTACAACTAATTTATCTTGTTTTCGCTTAAATTTTCATTTCTTCATTTTATATTTAATTTTTTTTTTGATTTTCCGCCAATTTATTTTAATTCATTTTATTTTATTTCTTTATTTGAAATCTTTTGTTTTCGCTTAAATTTTCATTTTATTTTATATTAAAATTGGTTTTGTTTTACTTGGATTATTTCATTTCCTTTTGTTTAGTATTATTATATATGTAATTTTTTATATTATTTTCTCTTAAAGTATTTTTATGTATTTCTATTCATTTTATATTTTATTTATATTAGCATAAATTAGTAATCAATTTTATTTATTTTCCATGGAAATTAAAGCTTTTTTAACCTCGGTATTTTTTGAATCTATTTATTTTTTTATTTCATAAATTTCATTACAATGTTTTAATTTACAGTCTTTTAATTCCCGTATATTTTAATATATTGTATATATTTTAATGTATTGTTTTCATTAACTTGTTCATTTTATTTTATTTTATTTTATTTTATTTTATTTTATTTATCTTATTTTATTTTATTTTATTTTATTTTATATTAAAGTTTATTTGATTTTCCTCTTATTTATTTCGATTCATTTTATTTTTTCTTAATTTTATATGTATCTTTTTATTTCATTTATGTAATGTTGATTTTTAATTTAAATAATTTTATTTTTTTAATTTTTATTTTATTTTAAAAAATTATATATTTTTTAAATTATTTTATATTATTTTACTTACTTTATTTTTATGTAATATTTGATTTTTTTACTTATTTATTTAATTTTTTAAATTGCGTTTAATTTCATTTATTTATACTTTAGTTGTTTAATCCATTTCAATCGCTTTTTTATTTTAATTTTATTTTATTCCTTTTATAATTTTTTATTTAATTTTTTATAGGCATATTTGTACCAAATAATATTATATAAAAAATCAATAAAATGTTTCATCATGTAAGCTCAAAGGTTAATTTAAATATTAGCGCACTAAATACTTTTATTTATTGAATATTAATATATATTTTTCTCTTTTTTATACAAAGATATTAACGCATGACTTAAGGCCACTCACAAATACGTTTTGTTGAATTTCATGCTCAAAAGATTTTTAAATAAAATAAAAATTTAAAAATACATATATGTACCATGTACAATATATATTTGTATATACAAAGTTCAACAAAAGTTGATAACTCAAGTAAGTCATTTATCAAGCCGCTAATTAGTAAACAGGCTAATAAGCAAATAAAATAAATTCTTCCTAAATAGTAACAAATATCGAAATAAACAGAAAAAAACACACACATATACACACCCCAGTGCACACACTGCCTTTTTGAGTGAACAATAACAATGCAATGAGATTAGCAAATATTGGCGTTAACACGAAAATCATACCAAATGTGGTTTGTTGATGATGTTGCCGCTGTCGCTGTCGCTACCATCAATCTATTGATTTTACACACACACACAGTTGGATTGACGTTTCCTCCCCGCGAGCAGACGCAAAGCCGTAAAGTGAAGTTGTGTAACTGTCACAACAGTATACGCCATGTCAGGCTGTCACTGTCAAAATATGTCATTGTCAGCATATTTGATGGATGCTTTGCTTGCTTGCGCGCTTGCTTACTGGAAGTTGAAAAAATAACACCAACATACTAAATAAGAAAAATGCAAAAACAACAACAGCGGCAACGGTGTTGGTAAATACGGTATATTACACGTCAAAATGCCAAATAAGTTAGCGGCGTGTTATGTGTGCATAGTAGCCATGTATGTATGTGTATGTGTGTGTGTGTACAAGTACAGTGGATCCCGTGGCTAAATTATTTATTATTGTGCTGTGGCATCTCTCACCGCATTCACGAGTTGCTATATGTATGCATGCATATGCTCGTATGTAGTCGTGTTGGTCTGGGTGGTGGTTGCTGTGTCACTGTTTGCATGAGCAGTTAGTGCTGGAGTTTTAATTTGTACAGCAAACACGAGTGCAAACATTTGACTTTAAGTATGTACATATGAAATTTTTACATACATATACATATCTACATTTATATGTTAGTACATACATATGTGCATTTAAGCGTTCATCATATGCGCCTTTTAACGCTTATTTAGCTCTTAAGTCTCTCTTTCAGCCAACTACACTTCACATTCGTCGGTTTTTATGGTTGGCACTTAAGCGGCCGTATACTATTTGCGCAACGTGTATTTAACAGCTTGGCTTATTTGCTGCTTTTATTAGTTTGCCTTATTTTATTATTATTATTATTGTTGCGCACATTTGTTGTTATTACACTTTATTGTATTTACATACATTAATTTATGTTTATTTTTGGCCTTTTGTAAGAGTTTAGCGGCGGAATAGTTTTTGAACGTGACGAATTTTCGTGACTATGACTGTGTAACTATAAGTAGTTAAGAGGAAATTGATGTCTGTATATATATATATCTATACAGTATATATATACATTTTATGTATATGTATATGTATATGCAGAGAGTTTTGCAGTTATCTGCAGAATGATTTATATGAAAAAGTAATGAATAACAATACACTAAACTTAGCATAATGTCCTGAGTCATAACCAACTGATTTTCACATTTTTTATTCCTTCTTTTTGACCATAAAATTTAATTTATTTTATTTTATATGATTCTTTTAAAAGTACTAGTCTTTAGAACGGGGCTTTGTGCTGCTATTTCGCTTTGTGTTAAAAAATCACCTCTAACATATTCTCCATTAGCATTGCACCGGCAAATTGTATACATTTTAAGTTCACCATAGCGTGGTCCGAGTTAAATTACCTAATTGTTCGCTACTTTTCGTATAGTCACCATAGCCATGCTGCTAGTCGTCGTTGCTCTTATTTCGCTCTTGGAAAATGTTTTCTTTTTTTTCTAGCCAACAGAAATTGGACATTCACAATAGTACTAGTATTTAACTAGTATGAAGCTGTTATCTCATGAAAAACTTTGCACGGCCTAGAAAAAAGACGTGCTTAAAGGTTCAGTCGGATAAATGTTGAAAAGTGTAATTCAGCCAATCCAAAGCTTGACGCGATAGGGATAATAGCTCAATTTAGTTATAACTTGATTCAGATGATTTGTGAAATTTTGTTACTTTATTAAAGTAAAAGGGATAAAAAATGACAAGTAAGTACTTAGAAATTATTAAACAAATTTTGCCTAAAAATTTAAGTAAAAAAATTTAAAAAAATTAATTTGCCCTCCTTTCCAAAAGCCTGAAAACTCCACGGATTAATGTTGCGAGAACCGGATTATGAATTACTCACATCGCTTTTGAACATACTCCTGTGATGTATAATAATAGAGTATAATAAGATTAACGTATTTACGCTTTTGTCTTTAATTTTATTTATTCTTTTTTTTAATTTTAAAGAAGCATTTTCGTTTGAGTTGAAAAAATCAGAGAAAGGATTTTTCAGAACTAATTCTAAAAGCCCTTCAATTAATTAATTCAATATTTTGATAATTTTAAATTATTTTAAATCCCTCTTGTAGTATTTATAGGTAGCTGGAAAAATTATAAATAAATTTGTATTTGTATTTTTTACATTTTTATCAAATATTCCTGTAATATATGTTCCTATTATTCCTTCTGAAAAACTAAAATAAAATCAAAGCGTCATGGAGAAATGCTGCAAAATCGTCATTGATGCATAAACTTAAAAAGGAGCATAGTACCAAAAAGGACAAAGGAGGAGTAAAAAAAACGGAATAAATAAAGAAAAATCAGAATCGAATTTATTTCGTTCAAGAAAGAAACTAACTTCGGAAAATTTAATTCTATTATAATTTAGCAATGAATAGAATAACAGTGCAATGGCTAAAGAAGCTCTGAGCAGAAAAGCCGGATTATTTATTTAAATTTGGCCAGGCATAATTAACACAATTTTTTTAATTCTAAATATTTTACTCAATAATCAAATTTATGATTTTTCTACTCACTTCAGAGTTCTTAAATTTAAAATAAACAACTTGTTTTCACTTATTTCTCCAACTTTTATATCGGCGAATCCTAAGTAGAGACCAACGCTACTGAAGCAACTTGGGATGCGTTTAAGAATTTTTCTCTTTATAAAAGTCCTTAATAACATTATTCTGCCTACACTTCATAGTCTTAGAGAGTTGCTAGAAGTTTTGTATGTAACTGTAAATTGTGTAGCGTTCTTTATACTCATTCGACTAGTATTGATTCCTCCGACTGCCTTCCACTTAATGAGAGTTTAAAATCAATAAGCAACTTCGTATTTCTATTTCATATTGATTTCTAACAGTTGATGAATAAATCTGTAGTTATTCAGTGTGGGAGCTCAGCATAACTGTGATCTTCTGCTATCGATCTCGAGTTCAAAGCAGTGCCATACTGTATGTGTATTTCATTCGGTCTATTGTAGTTTTCGTTTAGCCTTCAGGCTTACACCTTGCTGTTACAGAGTAGAGTTGCAGCGAGATTAGATCGCTTTTTAAGCCACCCATAATCTCTAGAATTGATTTGTATGTTTTTGGAAATACTCCGTGATTGAATTTTTCTTTTCTTTCATTCAAATTAAATAAAAAAAAATCGGGTAATGTAAACTGCCTGAAAATCCGATCAATTGGCACTTTGCCGTTCCCCATTTCCAAAGAGTGGCGTGAAAATATATCCGCCGAGGGATCATGTAACAGATTGAGGCATATATTGGTGGTTAATTGCAGAATTTGTACATGTCGCCAAAGCATTGAGTACTGTTGAACTCGTCCGCTGGTGTTTATTGAGGAATGACAGGGACCAGGATTTTGTAAAATTTGCAGTCGGTCGGTAACTTCTCAAGGTATGCAGATCTTTCAAAACATGCTTAAAATATATAGCTTGATCTATCTACTAAAGTTTTTAACGAAAATGTCAATATTAATGCCTGGAAGTAAGCCAAATGCATCATTCCGATCTAGGTTTATTCACAGTCAAGTTGAACCCGTAGCCGTGGTCCACTTCACAGAAAGAAGAGTAGTCTTCCTGTTAACCTAAGCGAAAAAACCACTTATAAACTGCATTTCAAGTAAATCGAACCGGCGAGAAGAGTAGTCTTCCTGGTAGTCTAAGCGGAAATTCATTGAATTTTTCGAATATGTAAGTCAGTCCCTGGTCTAACTTTTGGAGACTACCGTAACTTTTCAACGAACATCACATTTATATACTTACGAGATATATATGCATATATACCGTATACAGATCATATATTGTTGCATACTTTCGTGGTTAAAAGAGCAAAACAAGTGAAACCAGAGATTGATAACCCAAGCGTAAAATATTTTTATGCCTAAAAAAACTTCTGTTTTAAATTTGATTTCAAAGTATTTGCCTTCAGTGGTTTTAAAATTCCTTGACCTGTTTTGCCAGGACGTTTACTTCAACAATCATAATTTATCAGGTGTACAACTTTGCTGTACCGGCTGAGGCTGGTTGAAATACATAGATGATAATGCCTTTAAAGTGAGTGTGGATTGTGCCTAACGAGTTGTCATCGCCGTTTCAGTGACAGTTGTTCTTGTTTTCGTATTATTCACGCTCGAAAGTGTCCGTTTATGTGCCTAATTCTCGCCATTTGCGAAAAGTTATACAATTTTTGTGTTACAATTCGAAAAAAATGCAGCTGAAGAGCATCGAATGCTCTCAGAAACTTACCGTGATGCTGCTCTGAGTGAAAGAACGTGTCGGGAGTGGTTTTAACGTTTTAAAAATGGTGATTTCGATGTCGAAGACAAACATGATGGTGGAAGAGAAAAAACCTTCAAAGATGAAACATTTGAAGCCTTGCTTGATGAAGATTCGCGACAAACCCAAGAACAGCTTGCAACTGATGCGCCTTAGTTCCGCGCTAAGAGAAAATCGGCCACAATATCAAGAGCGACATGACAAAGTCATCCTCCAACACGACAATGCTCGGCCTCACGTCGCAAAAGTGGTCAAAATGTTGCCTCATGGATAACGTCAAAAGAGGACGCCTTTTTTCGAGCCGAGATCCGAAAATTGCCGGAAAGATGGGAGAAAGTTGTCGCTAGCGAAGGACAATACTCTGAATAATATACCTGTAAGCACTTTCTCGCAATAAAGCTTTTAATTTTGGAAAAAAAAACGGCGGAAGCAAAGTTGTACACCTGATACAAAGTACGCAAAACAGACAAAAATTTTAC